ACTGTAGGAAGTTCAGCAAGAAGGAAAACATCCTGGGTAAATGCACGATGTGCGGCGATTTAATGGAATCGATCCAACGTATTGCCGCAGGCTATTCCGTTTGGGTTAATACCGGATACCAGAAAACGGCGCAACAGCATCGGCAAGATCAAACACCAATAATTGGCACATGAAAGGTATATCGTCTCAGCAACGACGCATTATAAGCGATATCATCCAGTGAAGGTACTTGAGGACGACCAGTGTACCACCTAATTCGACCAACCTATAGTTGGTACCTTGTAGCATACCGCTGACCATGAGTTTCTGGACATATTAATTCCAGACTGCAAGAACCGGACAGCCGAAATAATTGATGTTACTGTTTCATTCGATGAAAATGGGTAAAAATATGGGTGGAAAAAATAAGAAAATATTGAAACGTGGCTATCGATCTGAAGCAGTTATACCGACTAAAGACTGTGCGAAGAAAACTGTGGCCATTTCCGGAAATGGTCTCATTCCGAAATCGAAGTGAATGAGCTTGAAACACCGAAAACTCATAGAAGGGCAACTAAAGAAGTGAAAGAAATCTGCTGCTTTTGATACATGCAGAATAGTGCGAAAAGTCATGGATATTGAAAAGGTTTGGCACCCTGCTTAACCGCAAGCTGCCAAAAATATCCTCTGTATGACAAAGTATAAATAATTAAAAAATGAAAACCAGATAGTTGTAGGAAGATTGAAATAATCTTTATGGTAGAACAAACGCAGTACATAACGAATAGACAATTGTATGCACAGCTCAACAGACCCAGATCTAGGACCAGTACGATCGGCTAAGGCTCCTTACAGCTGAATAATGATAGTATAAGTATCCAACTGCTTCATGATAGTACTTTAACTGTTTTCCAATCCTATTTTTAAGCAAATTTCTTTCTATCACCCTTTCAAATTCAAGACACCGTTTTTTATTACTTTTGTTTATAACTCAAAATTGAGTAAATAAAGTTTGACCCATCACGCAGACGGTTTACCA